CGGGGGGCTGCGAGGCTGCTTCTACCACAGATTCTCGCTCCTGTCTCTGGCTGCAGTTGTGCAGGTTTTTTTCCCCCCTTCTTAAATATGCTATCCCAGAGGCGCTACCATTGTCACTGATGGGCTTGGCCTTGGCCAGCAATGGGTCCATCTTGGAGCTGGCTGGCATTGGCTCCATCGGACATGGGGAAGCTTCCAGCAGCTTCTCCCAGAAGCTTCTGGCAGCTTCTCACAGAAGCCACCCCTGTAGCCCCCCCATTACCAAAACTTTGCCACGCAAACTCAATGCACCTTGTAATCTTTTTAAGATTTAACTTTTCTGAATACTAACCAGAGACCAAACCCCGAGATGTGCCAAATGCTTCTTGTAACAGCCAAAGGGATGTGCCCAGATGTCAAGGTGCTGTAGGGAATCAATGGGATTGGGCATCTGTGAAGGGGAAAGGCACGCTATGTGCCCGTGCCTCTTTATCTTCTGAGAGGCATGAGTTTTGAATGGAAATGGAAATACCTTGTTGGCAAAGTTAAAGTGTGTGCCATAGACAACTTCTTTTCTGTATCATCAAAAAGACCTTACATAGAGGAAAATTGGGTCACTAATAGTCTTATTCCAGTTAAAAAACTTTGAGTGGGAAAAACTGCTGGGACAACATGTAAAATTGTCCTGGTCTTTGTAATGCACATTCGCTTCTTTGGCAGGCTGCAGTTGTTTTTGAGAGCGCGGCTGCCTGGAGGAATTATGTCACCTTTCTTCGCCCTACCTCAAATACTAATAAAAGGAGTGGGGTTGCAGCAATAAGAAGTGGAAGATAGCACAGGCCATGAGTTTAGGGGCAGCTAAAGCTGCAGTTAATTCTATATTTAATCCAATGCTCTTTTTGTGACTGCCAGAAGAAAATACATTATTTCTCTTGCAAACACATATGACACATATGCAGAGAGAGGAGGAAAGAAACAGATCTTGTATGGGCAGTCTCAAGAACAAGGAAACCTCAGCTCTTCTTGCTAAGGAATTCCAAGTAAAGGAAGTGAGGAAATTCCCAGTTAAAGAGGTTAATACATCCTAATGCATGTGCATTCTTTGCAGTAAATAAAATATGCCAACTAATAATGAATATATATTAAAGTAAACAAAAGTTGCATGACACTGTCTTTCTGAATGCAGTAAAATTATGTCTTGCCCATATAGAGTGTCTTTCATGATGAAAACGACTCGGATCAAATACACAAAAAGGTGGGATGTCTTCATTCACTCTAATAATGAAATAAGGCAAGTGCCTTCCTTACGTGTAGAATTGCTGTCCCATAACCTAACACAGACATTAACTATTACATATAATGGGAGGAAGCATGAACTCTGACCTGTGCTGTGAGAGAAAGAGCTCAGATTGTCTTCAACACAACATAAACATAGAGCAAAATTATTTTGCCCTACTATAAGACTCAGGATAACTGTATACTGATTGACTACACCTGTGGTGCAACAGGAGGGTTAGTCAAGCAGACAAAGGAGATGTTGTCTCTGGACATGTAAAGACAGGAGACGCAGGAGGAAAAAGAGTAATTTGTTTGGGGTTTTTTACATGATGTATTTACTTTATGAAAGTTCACAGTCTTTCAAGGGCTTTCTTCTAAATAAAGAGAGAATCTGGATTTAGGCAAATAGCAGAGACCTTTTCTATTTGATTTCCTTGCAGAAGAGTGTTAGACTTACTGGATTTTCCTTATAAGAGTTCTGTTCCTAATCATCCCCTGTTAACCAGAGTCAAACTTTCAGTGGCAATGAACATTGCCTGCACAGCAGCTGAGCCAAGGAATCCTTGTAACTTGTGGGTTACGAGGCTGGCGGCCAGCAACATGAGAGTGTTCTCTGTTGTTTTCCAGTTAAATGCTAGAATGAAATCCTGGTAGAGGCCATCCTTGTGGTCTTTTGGACAAAGTAATGTGCAAACAGAGTGCCTGCTTATTGCTGGTGGAACTTGGTGAATAAAAGATTTAGAGCCTTCCTTGTTGTGCCACCCAAGTACAAAATTTGCCCTGCACAACCTAATAGCCCAACCCCAATCAATCTCAGTTGATTACAACTTGGCTAACAGCTGTTGTGGGAACTCATCAGTGCTTCGCTGGGCTGAACACCCAGTGAGCCACAGAAGCAGAGCAGGAATATTTCACCTGGGTACTTTAACTTGGCCATGGGTAGGTATGTAACTGTGGCCATGGACACTTGCCCCATCTACATTTTTTAATATGCTTGGGGTCTGGTAGTGTTCAGGATACAAGTGAACAGAACTGTTTTTGTTGCTGGACCTCAGAGGATGTGAATCCAGTTTTTTTAGTGTAACAGTATTACATTTTCTGCCCACATTTGCTAGAAGGGGAAAAGTAATTCACAATCTTTCATAGGTATGACACACACCAGGCTGCAAAGGTTGTATCCTGAATGTCTCCTGCTAGGCACATTGCCACCAAAGGAGGGCAGGGGACTCCTGTCCCGCCTCTCTGCACTGTAGACAGCTCTCAGCGTGGCATACATCCAACTAAATCCCAGCATCTGACCTAATCACCCTGGGCTCCCTCACTAGTCCAGAGACTGGCCTGTGTGTCCAGTGCAGATGCTGAGTACATCTGAAGAGAGACACCTGCATTCTATCAGCATCCTAAAAAGTGTTTCTTCCTCCCTTCTGAGTATAAAAGGAGCTAGCAGTGACTACCTTAGACAGCTAATATGCACAATTCTGAAGTTAAGTGAGATGCATCCCACCCTGATCTTTTTATGATCCTTCTGCCCTAGTAAAGTTGTGCAGGGAAGTGTTGGAGCGCTGTACCCAGTGCACTGACCACTCTTCCTTCCTTTCCAGGCCCAAAGGAAGCATGGGAAACAAAGCCTTGTCCCATGACAGTGTCTTCATTTTTGAGTCTACACCAGGAAATGTGGCAGGTGACACGTCATCTCAGGAAAACATACCTGGGAGAGTGAAAACTTTACAGGTGAGAACGCCGTCCCCTCATTCATGGTGCTGCTTTGTATTAGCTGTCTCCTAGGAAACTCTGTTGCTTGATTCCTGTGCTGTGTGCCCTAAGATCTTGTTGACTAAAATGTTCAAAGCCAGATTTACTGGGTTTGGATCTATTCTGCCTCTCGGAAGCTGTATCTTTGAGCAGTCCTGGTGCTTTCAGCCTTGCCTAAGTCTCATAGTGTGCGAGTGACGTGAATGCAGTTCATGGACTCTTGGAAACTTTCCTTAATGAACATGTTCTCTTCCAATGGGATTTCCATTCTTTACTTCATAGCTACTGCTTTTGGGTTAAGGCCATTTATTTATACTGTAGTGTGTCCCTTACACTGTTATTCTTTATATATTATTTATACATTATTCTTTTTGGCAATTCTGGTTATATGTTTTCACTGTACGCACTAGCACCAGCAGCTGTGTAAGCATGTGGGATGATGGATGTGTCAGGGTAACAGCTTTATTTATATCATTATTCTTCCGAGTAAAGGATACTGTATTCTGCTAGGTCATTTCCTTCTTCCAAGGCACATACTGAACCTTCCTTGACAGCTCCCTTATCAACTATTGGTTATATTAATTGCATTTAAACAACTACCCAGCTCAGAGCACTGAGATAAAAGTTTAAGGTTTTTCCAGAAACTGAAAACAAACCATTGATAAAGCAGCCAAAGGCCATTGAAATTCTTCTTTTGCTCAATGTGAGCTTCATGTTGCAAAACACAATTGCATCACATGTTAAGTAACAGAAGATGCACAGAGGGACTTGTTCCCCCATAAGACTGAAAAACAGGCTAAGCTTCAATTCAGGGTATTTTTCATATAACAATAGGAGTAGCAGGAGAAATCATGTGTATGTATGACAGAACTTTGTTGGGGAAGAAAAGCTCTTTTCATGCTATATCCAGTCCACTGTGCCCTCTTTTCATCCATCCATCGTCCTGCATGGTAATGTAATACTGCCAGTCATAAAAGACAGCCTTTTTCCATGAGCTTCACTCTTGTCAGAATAAAAAGCAAGCACTAATAAAAGCTGTTATTTTCTTAGCAATATAAATTAACTTCTACCAGTAGAAGACAGACTATAAATTCAGAGTTTCCCCCACAACACTTTGCTGTTACTGCCAGCAGTACTTTTATAGTCATAAAAGACAGCCTTTTTTCCATGAGCTTCACTCTTGTCAGAATAAAAAGCAAGCACTAATAAAAGCTGTTATTTTCTTAGCAATATAAATTAACTTCTACCAGTAGAAGACAGACTATAAATTCAGAGTTTCCCCCACAACACTTTGCTGTCTGCATGTAATAAATTTAATAAATCAAAGATGGGAAGTTGTGAAAAGCGAGAAAAGCAAAATTGACTTTCTGTATTTTCCTTCCCATGAAGTGCACAGGTATGTTGTATGTCTTGTTTTACCTATGTATTGCAATCTTTGTGCAGTTTGTCTTCAGTCCTACTTTTGCAGATTGTACTGGTGATGTCTTTGATTGTTGTGGCTAAGTGAGCAAGAAAGCCATTTGAACTAGAAGACTGATGGATTAGAGGGTGACATTGTGCTACCCTGTGTGGCTGTTTAGATCTGTAGGAATTACACTGCAAGTGAATTTTGCTGAATAAGAATGGCAGCTCTTTAGACCTATTTTACAGAGATATAAATGAATGCATAGGTTGCAGAAGAGCACAGAATTAGGCCTAGAATTTCCCAATCTGGTTTAATAAGCAAAGAAACAGAAAAAAACAGGTCTGCATATTTATCTTGGGAATATTCAGTTGAGACATTTTTAGTTGAAGGACAAAGTTTCTGTTCAGACCTTGTTTCTATTCCAGCTTTGACATAGCTGACAGACTTAAGCCAAGAATTTTACTAATGGTGTTTCCTGAGAACTGAACTTTCTTAGTTTGAGGGAACATCTGGCTGCTTGTGAGGTTGCAGACTTTGTTTTATTTTTCTAGGGTCAGGGCCTGCCAGAGCATTCTTTTGTGCAATCTCAGAAAAGAATCCCTGTACTCCTTTACAAACAAAGTTTTTCCTGGCTGCCGTTATCATTCTTGCTCTAGACAGGACCAGGATGTGATGCTGGGGAAAATTAACAAGCAATTCATTAGGGTGGAGCAGAAATTGAATTAAATTTTCTTTGTATAAAGAAAATTGAATTAAATTTTCTTTGTGTGCTCAGCTACTTGTGTGGGAGAGGGTGGTGACAAGCTCTCAGTATTTGGAAGGGCTTTGTGAAGGAAAGCTGACTACATAAACCTGGACTTGGGAACTGCTCACTGACAATACTTTGTGTGACTATTTTGGTCATCCGGATACATGTAATTATTTAAAGAGTACTTAAATCTAGAATTTTTAAAGTTTTAAATTTAAATTGAGTTAAACTGCTGTAAATTTTCTGGAATGGTGAAATTTCTGTCTTTGGTACCTTACTGAATAAAACTGAGTTTGATTTTAATTTTCTACCAAAGCCAGTTCTAATGATGGGCCCTTGATGAATGTAACTAAATAAAATTTTATTAATGGCTCTTTTCTGTAAATGGTCTGTTTCTTCAAGTATTTCTGTTAACTAAGAGATTCTGCATACCTAATGGGAGCAACTGAGGTAAAAGTGTCTAAAATATTCCCTATAAATAATGCCATTGAAAGTCTATATTGTAGATTTCTTTTCAACCACAGCTTCAGTTGCAGCAGAACATCAGACTTGGATCAACTCCTCTTGTTATAACTGGAAAGAAACTGGAAGATGCAGGTGCTGTTTCTGAAGACGATGGTTTACCTAGAAGCCCTCCTGAAATTTCAACCCTTCATGAAGTTCTGACAGATTCACCAAGCAAGGTATGATTGTTATGTCACTTTAGTGACCACCTGTACAAAAAAGATAAAATCTACTTGGAGAAGGGGAAGACCTTTTTGCTTGCTTGTGATAAAATCTGATGGTGCGGATCAGTTAGAACTAGAACAAATTACCTAGGTGGATTGCGGACTTGTCACTGTGAGGGATACCTAGGAAGTGGCCTTACAAATACCTTCTGAGTACAATTTTCTATGCTTTTATGGAGACCAGGGCTGGGGCAGTTGTGACCTATGTCATTAGGGAAA